CCTGTTGATCTCACTACTAAACTTAGTAAATTACCTTCGGCGTAGCGATAGCTGTCAGAGCAACAACTGTTAGCCTTCGTAACTTTTCTGCTCGGCACCTAAGAAACTCTTTTGTACTCAATCAGGAAGCAAATGTTGTACTCGAAACTTCAAAAACAACTCACCAAAGGAGCACACGCAGCAAGGCAGGTATGAAAGGAGTCAACGGGAAATCCAAGGCCGCTTTGTTGGCGCTGGCTTCAACTACAGCTGCTACACCAGCATTTGATGGGAACAAATGAGTAAGAAAGATTAAAATTGGATACACGCTGAACTCGTCCTTAGAAGCCTGCAGTTGTTCGAATAGGTAGCTGTACAGAGAAGGAAACCTGAAAGCCATTGGTCATGACCATACATTCAGCATCACGAATTCTTTCCTCACCTTGAGAAAAACTCATACGAACTCTGACGATTTTTTGAGTCAACATAAAGGTCTCTTTGGCTCTTGTGAGCAACACCGAAAATCCGTGACCTCAGGGCTGCCGCCAGCTGAGCGGCCGCATTGCGTTCCGGCCATGTGGACGCTGAGCAACCACTAACCGCAACACGACATGCCCACTGAAAAAGATGCTGATACAGATGATACAGTGGAGCTAGCCCATTTTAGTAGTGATCAGATAGGATCTGCGAATCAATATCGAGTGAGGAATCAAAACGCTCGCTTGTCGCAATTTTCCAAGCTTTCAGCACTTCTAAGTTTCAGTAGAAGAACTTTGGCAGGTGGACACTAACAAAACCAAAATTCTGTGAGAATGAAACGAATAAAGAAAAAGGCTTTAGCAAAATATTATCATAAACAGTTCACCTCCAGCCCAGCTGTGACGCGTTCTCCAAGAGCTGACGACGAGAATATTGCCTTTAGAACATTCAGTGAGTGAACGCTAAATAGGACAGATGCAGAACGCATGACGGCTCAGAAAGAGAGCAACCTTACCGATAGGTGACGGATTTGTGATCTTTCAAGAAGAGATGTCAGAGCAACTTTTAGTGATTGACTGGGACGATTAGGTGGCTCAGTCGCCAGAATGGTAGTGACGAGATGAGGCACACCGGCACTACGTCGAGTTGAGCATAGGTTTTGAAGATCTAAAGAAAAAACAATGAATTGCGATTATTTACTCGAGTTGGCACATGCTGCCAATGAGTTGACTAGTCTAACAAAATACTGTGTACTATACTGAAATTTCGGCACTATTTTCCCCGTATTTTCCTCACTGCCCCAACCTTCCGGTCATTTTGGTCATTTTTTTCACCGACTTCTTTCTTCATTGGCACATTCGGCCGAAAACGTGTCTCCAGGAGTATTTTGATCTCGTGAGCATGAATATCACATCCGTTTGGTCTGGAACCGCCTGGCATCCGCGCCACAGGCGATGACCTCAAAATACATACCTGGGAGTAGTTCGACCTCCCTAACACGGATATCACATTGTTGGCACGAAATCGCTAATCGCCCGCGTTACAGGTGACGGCACCGAATGCTGTTTTTGATCGCGGGAATGGTATTTCGGGGAAGGACGAAGATTCCGCTGACGGCCAGCTGTCGGAGGGGTGGACAGAGAAAATTTGTAATTTGTCGTGTCGTCGGGTGGCGGCATAGGTGGGCGGCGATGCCGCGATCAAACTTCTCGAAATTGCATATCAGCAGGCATTAACACGAATTCAGCGGAAATAAGGCTCTATGAGAGGAGGAATATTGATTTTCCCATTCTTCCCACACCACTTTTACGAAAGCAAACCGGTCACGCTGTTAACGACACGTTTCGTCGCGCAGGCAGACGAGTCCGTTTGGCTACGGCCCCTCCCCCTCGCCCCCACTAGCCTCCCATATCCCTGCACACATGCAATGTGATCATTTGTATTCAGGAGCAAACTACAACACACAAGCAGGTTTACAGCTATGTCGCGATGGCGCCACTAGGTTTTAGGCCAAGCAAATGCGATATTCATTCAGAAATGCGACACCAGGAGGTCAAACTACCCTTGTGGCTGAAATGTTCAGCAAAATTCTGCCCTACTTGTTGGACTGTTTCAATAAAACCCACCTTTTTTGCCATCCAGTGCATCGAGAAATTTCGTGCAACCACTCAACGGGTTTTGGCAAGGTAGGATCATCGCTCTTCCAAAGGAAAGCACACAATGAAGAGAAGCTGAAAAATAATTGTGATTTTGGAGTTCCAGCAAATTTCACACCATGCAAGAAACCTAAAACAGACCCTTCCACTGCGGTTTCGAAGGCTCCGCAATGTTTGCATTCTGTAAGCTGCAACCAATAAAAATCGCCAATGCGACAAACATCTTCAGATGTGAGCATGGAATGTGGGCAGCACTAAATGAAAACGTAGTACATATAACGTATATGTCTAGCAATTAAAGTTCCAACGATCAGACCTTCCAACGATCAGAAAGACCGCCTCCTACCTCCACCACTGCCCACGCAAGAATTGCCGATACGTGTTTATGAGCCCTCCAGCAACAAACCAGTAGTAGTTGCGACACCTCGCCCGCGGGGCACGTGGAACGCAATCTCGCCGCTCATCTGTAAGAATTGGCCTACAAAGGTTCGTGAACTGAATTAAGCTTTTAATGCACAGCTAAAGGATATGGTTGTTTTGGAAAACAGTTCAGACAGAATAGTAAGCGTAGTAGTAGTATGTGAAGGAGCTAAATCTAAAGGTAGCTTTTCGACCAAGAAAACTACTGGGCGTAGTGAAAGAAAAGAGTACGAAAAATCGAAAAAAAAAACAGGAACACACACCCATTTTCTCCAGTGCTTCTTCTGGAATATAGCCCTCGGGCGACATTGAGTGTACCACTGGTGTCACCTGCAATAAACCACTATGCATATCAGGCTTTCAGCAAGTTTATGTGATGTATCTGACCATATTATGGAAGAACTAAGGCGGAAATAGAGTAGTGGCAAGTAGACCTCCTACCATGTGCGGAAATCCCGGATCGGTTCCCGCTCAGGCCAACCAAGTCTTTTAACGCTCCAAAGAAGAACAATAAATTAAGGGTGCCCAGATTCGTTTGGTGGGTTAGGCAACACTGGACTTCTACATCAGTTCCCCGCCCCTCCCCAACACATTGTCAGGCTTATAAAAGGATAAAGGATAAAGTCTTCGCCGTTGATCAATCCCTTTGTGGGATGCGGCACGCATTCTACTTCCATTCAGAATCGTAGTGGGTTATTGAATGCGATGTGGCCTATACAATGACTTGCGGTGGCCAGCCGATGTACAAGTCAGTGTTTTATCCTCCCAGACGAATCTGGTACCAATTCACCGTCCCCGGAGGGTAGAAGGCTTGGTTGGCCTGGGCGGGAGTCGACCCGGGATTCGAACCCGGGACCCGCTGCGAA